AACTCCGCGGATTTCTCCTGGGTTTTCTTCGCCGGCGACAGCGCCGACGCCACTATTGTACACAACATGATGGTGAGAGCTGCCGGCGGCGAAGCCTGCGGGGGTGATACTGCTGCATCCATTTTTCGGGAATCACGAGAAGAACAGATTCTGGGAATACAAACACGATCGGTCCGGAGGATCCATTGTTTAATCCCGCAAGCTCGTTTCTTTCATCAATCAACTTTAATCTTCACTATTTTGAGGAGGAGGTATGATGAAAAGACACAACTACCCCCTCTCAAACTGGGCATTTAACGGGAAAAGTGACGGAGGACTAAAAGTGACGGGAAATTGTCCTCGTCACAATAAGAGTGTTCACAAATCGTTTGATTTTTTTATAAAGGACCAATATTGTCCGTGCCACTATAAGTCTAGGACCAAAAATGTCTTTTACTCTTTACGAAAAATAGAAAAGGAAATGAAATTCACTGAACAATTAATACTAATAATAATCAGTAAAATTAAAAGTTCGCATTAAAATAGAAAAATATAAAAGGATCATTAATTCATAAGAAAATAATATATTTTCTTAACCTAATGAAACACCCAAAGTCAACAAAGCATTCACTGATGCTTGATCTCATGACTTCCCACATAAGAGAAATCACTACATGCTATCGGAGCACAAAGTGCTTGGCAACAAACATTAGGTTAATTGAAAAAGAAAATGAATATTAATAATTGTTTGAATATAAAAACGATTCATAATTGACTAAAATAGAAAAAAAATGGTCAGATCATTACATTTTAATTTTTCACAATAATATTAAAAATAATATTACACAGTATAATAAATCAAATCACAAGTATGTCATAAATCTTTCACAATTTTAAATAATAGAATGGAAACATTTCAATAATAATATTCTACACCATCAAGTAAAGGTAAATTAAAATGAAAAAGAAATACTTCAATAATAATATTCTACATCATCAATAGTAAAAACATATTTTAAATAATAGTAAAGGTAAATTAAAAATGTAACTAAAATTAAAAATGAAATGGAAATATTTCAATAATAATATTTTAAATCATCAATTAAAAATGAAACGAAAATTGGGTAAAAATATCATTGCATTTGATATTTTAGTTCGCTAATTTATTAATTGACTAAAAATAAAAAAAAAATAATTGGCTGAAAATGAATATGATATTACTAATGGACTAAAAATATAAAAGGAAATGAATATTAATAATTGACTGCAAATAAAAAATTATCTATAATTGACTAATATGAAAAAAAATAAATGGTTATATCATTGCATTTTAATTAAAAATCAAAGGGAAACTAAAATTGAACGTCAATATTTCAATAATAATATTCTACATCATAAATATTAAATGCATATTTTAAACAATAGTAAAGGTAAATTACAAATGGACCAGAAATATTTCGATAATAATATTATACATCATCAATTAAAAATGTAACAGAAATTAGGTAAAAATATCATTGCATATGATATTCTAATTGACTAAAAATAAAAAAGAATAATTGACTGAAAATGAATCTGATATGATTAATTCATTTAAAATATAAAAGGATCGCTAATTGACTAATATTATACCATTATATATTTTCACCGAGTCACTCATCCAGATCGATTGAAGGTGTTAGCTCTAGCCGATGATGAACAAGATTGTGTTGCTACTACCAATGCCGTCTACAGAGAGGTTTCATTAATGTGTAAATAAAATTGTTGATATTATATTTTTAAAATGACAAAATTGCTATATATATAGACAAAAAAAAAAAATATCCTCCATACAAATGAATTAAGATAACAATTCATTCATATAACTGAGTTGCTAGAGAATGAACACATTTGTCTAATTTATAAAAAAAATACTAAACAATGATAAATAAAATCTCCAAAGTTACAACACTGCATGCATACATCTACACATTAACTATTAATTTGAGCAATTATTTGCTTAAATTCAAACAATGATAATATAAAAACACATAAATGATCCAACCCGTATATTCAATTGCACTATATAATATTTGATATTCTAATTTAAATAATTATATATCGATCCAAATATTTTTAATATATTATAACAAAAATTTTTAGTGCATCGCACGGGCGCAAATACTAGTTCAATTAATAGTTCAACCCTGGCTAAAAAAATTGGAATTTTTATCTATCAAAAAAGTGATCAGAAATGTAAATTTGTTATAAAAGTTAAATTTCGAAACAAATTTTCGACAATTTTAGTTTTCAAAAAAATACTTGTTACAATTTCTGGCTACTTGTGAAAAAAAAAAAAAAAATCCTTCTTGTTTACTTTACTTTTTCTTTATAGGTATTTTGAATGATTAGAAAAGTAATTAAAAAATTAAATGTGAACGCACCTAATTGATGAGCCCATTAGGCTCCTAATGGGGTTCATCATGATCGAGACTAGCCATTTGAGGTGCTAGAGCTCAAGATAAACTTATTATTGTAGTGTCAAACCAATAAGTAGAGGCCTTTATAAGCTTCGAAAGGGATTTGAGCCCAATAAACCTCAACTTATGATATGTTAAATCTTAAAGGCTTGTTCGATCTCCATACAATAGTTATACTGTGTAAATGTGTTCACCATGCGCATGGTGAACACAGGGGTAGATCCATAATTTATATATTGTACATTCATAATTTTTTTTTTTTGAAAACGTAGATTCATAATTTTGTTTTTCATTTGTTGTTAACGGGATAGATCCATAATTTATAAGCTGTAGATTCATAATTTCTATACTGTAGATTCATAACATCTATACTGTAGATTCATAATTTCTGTACTGTAGATTCATAATTTCTATACTGTAGATTCATAATTTCTATACTATAGATTCATAATATCTTTAACAACAAATGAAAAACAAAATTATGAATCTACGTTTAAAAAAAAATAAAAATAAATTATGAATCTACAGTGTAGAAATTATGGATCTACCCATGTGTTCACTATGCGCATGGTGAACACGTTTCCACAGCATAATTTGCGATCTCCATAGGTATGGCCAAGGTTGAATCCATCAGCAAATTATTCCCCGTGCTTCGTGTCAACACGTTGACCGGTCCCTTGAGTACAAGTTACGCTAAGCCTAAACCGGTCAAGTCCAGGTTATTTAGGGGACTTTTCAGGTCAACTGAGATCACCGAGCTCCCGCAAGGGACGTATCGTCCTTGGCGGAGCATCGCCCCCTCTCGGTCCCTTTAGGTCGTTACCAACTCGTAGCAGAAGATTGATTGATCTTAATTACACTTCTCAGGAATCTACCACCACGTGGTCCCTTTCCATCGGACCGTGCAATGGCCCGGTGCATGGCCGCCACGCAGCCAGCATGCCGAAGGGCCGGAGGTTGTCTCCCGAATTCCTATAAATACCGCATTTAATGCAGTCAGAGGGGACTTTTGGTTGTTTACCTAAATGACAGTCTTGGAGCTCGAAAACCTCTGGCCCACTATCACGTCTACCGAGCTTCATTGTAAAGGCGTATGTATGTAGCTATGGTGACCTACCCGGTTAACCGACTCATGTAACTTGCCTTTATACGTATGATCAATAATACAACCGTATTTTCTACTATCAATTTACATATTAAATGTTCGCAATTTTCTTTTTAAAAATTCACAATTCATATGCTACGAACACACAATGTTAACATATTTGTAATTGATTACAGTGTTTTGTATTACAAGTTCTTTCAAATAATGCAATTACACAATATTAACGTATTAGGATTTGATGATCTTATATTATATTCACAAATTCTCTTTTACAGTTATTATGTACACAATTTATATTCTAGAAGTTCAGAATTTCAATACCAAAAATACATAATTTATATGTCGCTTAGGACCAGGTCCACCTTGCATGGTATAACAACTCGACTCCATCTATTTTAGAATTAAGCAACCTACAAACAATGTACATTTTTAATATACAAAACGTACATTATTTGTGTATTAAATGTACATTATATAAAATAATATATACTTTCATTACTCAAATAATGTATTTGTCATGAATACAATATACAATTTTAATATATTAAAAGTACATTATTTGATAGTATATAAAATAATGTATTTTCAGTACTCAAATATTGTATTTTATGTATATAAATAATGAACTTTTTATTTGTGGCCCACGCAATAATGATTGGAACATGGATTCGTTTGTTCATATGATGTTTCCCCAATATTATCTACTACAACTTGACCTATTGTATAACAAAGATTATCTACTACCACTTTACTACATACACATCTTGTCATTTTATCGTAAAGTCTAATTAAGTAACATTACAAAATGGGACCTGTATAACAAGTAAATTTATAATATTTTAATTTATTCTAGTCTATAATATTTTAACAATTAACATTTTTATATTTTGTATTAAAATTCATATTACTTATTAGTTTATTAAAAAAATATTAACATTTATAAAATTTTATTTACGTATTGCAAATGTTAATTTATTTTATTTAAATAAATTAAGTCACATGTATTTTAATATAGAAATTAAAATTTTTAATTGCTAAAAAATTTAAAAATTTGAATAAATTAAAATATTAAAATTTAATCTTCATTATTAATTTTTTTTTAACATAAATTACATTATTTTTATATCAATATATTCGTTTTCTTGTGAAAGTTCTTACAAATAAAATTTTCTAGAAATTCCATTTTAGAACGGTATTTAATCATACTTTAGTTGAGTAAGCAGTTTAGTGATAATAGGTAATTATAGTTTAGTGACAAGTGTTTAAATATGAATATAAGCATGTAATTATTTCTTTTAGACGTATTAATGTAATATATTGATTGTAAAAAATTATTATATTAATATACAAGTTTGAATATAAATATTATGATTGTGATAATGATGATATTAAGACCTCAATATTAGTCACATAACTCAAACTCTTTCTTTAAAAATATTAATTGTTTCGATCATTTACATACAGGTGACCGGTCAGCTCCAATACATTTTGTTTATTAGTTCACCTAAGTAACTAGGGAGGTGTCACTGATTCCCCTTCATTACACCCTCTAATTCTGACTTGTACCACGCCGTCCTCCCCATCTCCGCCGTTGATCACCTCACAACACTGCCGACGTGGCGCCTGCAAATCAAACACGTTATTGATCAAACACACAAACATGGCCACTACGTGCCGCTCACTACGTAGTACATAACCCACAAATTAAGCCACGAATTCCATTCAACAACCCATGTAGAAAACCAGTTTTATTTATTTATTTATGTATTTATTTTTAAAGCAAAGAAAATCCCAAATGCTTCGTGACACGTAGCATTTTATGTACATTATCCTGTGCGAGAAACGAGTCATTTACGCAGCTGATAGATGAAGATGATGTTTGGTCTTGTTTTGGTCCTAATTGTCACGTTATTCAACCTAACACTAACAACACTTTTATTTGTTTTACATGTGTCGCATTAATGTCCTAGGTCAAGGGGGCAAAATCAAAAGCAACATTGTAAAGTTAAGAAAAGAAAGGGAACAGGAAACCTGTAATCACTTTGGAATAAATCCTAACACAAACCACATAAAAATAATTAGTCTGATAGCTGACCAACTCAAACAAAAAAGATCAGTATACTCTGTGAAAGAAATTAAACTAAGCCCAGCTTAACTAGAGTCGTTCAATGCGCAGATATTTTAACTTCATATGTTATTCCACCTTGTAATTATTTTACCTAAATTTTTTGACTCTAACTATTCTATTCTAATTGTCTCAAATGCAATGTAGAAAAAAGGAGGAATAAAGTAAAAGACAAATAATGATTAGGATAGATTTACCTTTTTCCATATCTCCGAACGTAGAAGCTGGGCGGAGACATTGAAGGATTTAACAAACGACGCCGAAACATATTCCTTTTTATCGCACCGTTTCTTATAATCGATCGGCTTTTTATAGGTGCTCACCGTGAACCCTTTTCCGGCGTCGCGAACCCGGTCCACGTAGTAAACGATGGGCCGCTCGCACCACTCCATTTTCAGGGTGCGTGTGTTGAAGGTGAAGGGCTCTTCGCTCCACGACTTCCACGTCAGAAACGTCTGCAATGGCGTCTCCAGTTCCTTCGCCCCCACCACCAACGGGTAGAGCTGAATTGTGTATCCCCATGAAATCGAAACCGACCATTTTCTCTTCAGGTCGTAGCAGAAACTGTGCTGTAATATTCGGTTCGGGTCGGAGTTGTAGGCCTCCACTAGCTTCTTCACCGAGTGCTCCCGGCTGGTGTGCGGGAAGAGAGGGTGCAGGTAGTCCAGGTGGTGCAGCGACACTAGCGGCGCCACCGGGTGCGCCGCCAGTAAACCGTATGCATTCCCTCGTATATCCAGCTTCAGAGCAAAGAACAAGAAACTTACAAAAAGAATGAAATATTTACCTAACTGAAAATTATGAAATTTTCGATCACATGAAAAAAGTCAAGTTTAAGCTGATAGTTAGATTGCACATTTTATATGCTCAACACGCCCCCTCACATCTCAACTAATAGTTGAATTGTAGATTAATGGTCATATGTTCAACATACCTGATGGAAGCCAGGTTCTTTGGTGAGTTGAACGCCGATCTCAGTCATACAGCCGCCGATTTTCTGATCGGAGCCGTACGCCGACGCGTACCGGTCAATGCAGCCGTCCAAAATCCTGACGAGTTCCGCCGCGAGCGCGTAGCTGATGGCGAAACCGGCGCCGCCGTACGCCATCGTGTACGAGTGCACCTCGTCCTGCTCGACGCTCTCCGACACGCTTCCGACGTAGTACAGCTCGTTGTGGTCGTATTTTGACAACACCGTGACCAAATTCTCCGGGAAGAACACCGTGTCGTCGTCGCCCATCACGAACCACCGCACGTTCTCCACTCCCAGCTCGAAGCTCTCCTTCACGATCCGCGCGATCCGGACCGCCGCCCGGGAGCCGTACCAGCAAGTGTACTTGAACTTGGACGTGTCACCGGAGACACGGTACGGCGGCGATGTTTCCGGCCACCTGCCGCCTTCCGGCGGTTCGTCCAGCCAGATAAACCCACGCATCTCCTCAGGCTTCCACCACGCTTCACAGTAGTGCCGGCGGTCCTCCCACGTCTTGAGCGAGCCGCTGATACCGAAAAGAACGTGCGAAATGTTGGTGGTTTCGTTGTCACTGTAACCTAGTCCGACGTTAGAAGCGTAACCGGCGATCGGATGTAGGATGGTTTGTTGGCAGTCGTTACAGCCGAACCATTTGAAGAATCCGGCGAGGGACAAGAGAGAGATTGAAGCGAGAAGACAAATTGCTACGAAACGACCTTTCATTACATTGGTGAATAGATGGGTGGCTTTAAGGGATGTGAATAAGGGTGTTTGTTTCCAGAGCTTCATGGGATCTTGAGCGCAGTAATGGTGTGGCTGAGACATTCTCGTTTTTCTTGCTTCTTTGTTGGGAAAATGGAGGTTTTTGCGGGAAGAGAGACCTTGAGGGATAGGGAAGTGTTTTCAGTTTTTTGAATTTAGATTGTATATGGCAGATCAGAGTTCTAAAACAAGGTCAACAAGTGTTTGGGCTTGTACTGTTCTGCTTAATTTATCACGGCGTGACGGTTGGCTATTTAGTATATTCATTTAATATCATTTTGATGTTGAAATATGACATTTTCAAACTTAGTTACATGATTATCAGTTCTTCAAAATATTATGGTTATAACATTTCACCAAATTTCACCTAAGTGATTGAAATGCACATCAACGTTTGATGCATTGAGAATTATTAGACTAGTCCGTATGGACAACTTAGTTGGTCACATGAGTGAAGTTTAAAAATAGTGACTTGGTATCGAGTCTCACCAGCGGCAATGTGTGAGCAATTAATTCTCAAGGTGAGGAGCTTCTTATGCATAATAAGCAAATGTTTAATCTTTGTGTTCAGCTGAGTTATCATGATTTACATCCTCCGGATACTTTGTGGGGCCAAAGCATGGGAAGCCTTAGAAGTGGCAAATTATATATGTTCAAGGTGGACGCAGAACTATTCATAATTATGAATATATAGTTCACAAATTATGAATATATATATATATATATATATATATATATATATAGTTATGTAATTATGAATATAGAGATCCAATAATTGTGAATATGGAGTTCAAAAATTATGAATATATACATTTATAATTATGAAATATAGTTCAGTAATTATGAACATAGAGTTCTGTAATTGTGAATATAGAGTTCAATAATTATGAATATGAAGTTCAAAAATTATGAATATATATTTTTATAATTATGAATATATAGTAAGTAATTATGACATAACGATTGCCTAGAAGTTGGGGATTAAACGTTTTGGAGCAAAGAATTATTAGACTAAGCGAGAAACTTTCTTGATTGATGCACTGAACAAGTGCTTGTTGTTTGGTAATAAATTAACTTTTCCATGTTAGCTAATTCAAAATTAATTATATATGCCCCTCCAATTGCGAGTAGTTATGTTTTGCATCTGTATGCACCATCATACAGATGCAAAAATGACGTCGTTTTATTAAAAATGTGCGTCTTCCCTTAAAAAAAAATTCAGGTTCGATTCCCAGCAACAACATTATGTTGTTCATTCATTCTGAAATTTTAGTTAATAGATTATGGAATTTTAGTTCATTGATTCTGGAATTATAGTTCATCGATTCTGGAATTGTAGTTCATCAATTCTAAAATTTTAGTTCATAGATTCTGAAATTTTAGTTCATTCATTCTGAAATTTTTAGTTCATAGATTAGATTCTGGAATTTTAGTTCATAGATTCTGGAATTATAGTTCATAGATTCTGGAATTATAGTTCATCGATTCTGGAATTTTAGTTCATATGTTGTTGCTGGGAATCGAACCTGAATTTTTTTTAAAGGGGAGACACGCGTTTTTAATAAAACGACGTCGTTTTTGCATCCGTATGCACCACTCCAATTGCCATCGTATACAACTCGGCAAATTATGCTGTGCATCCGTATGCACCATGCATGGTGCATACGGATGCAAAAACGACGTCGTTTTAATAAAACGCGCGTCTCCCCTTAAAAAAAAAAAATCAGGTTCGACTCCCAGCAACAACATATAAACTAAAATTCCATAATCGATGAACTATAATTCCATAATCGATGAACTATAATTCCGTAATCTAATCTATGAACTAAAAATTCCAGAATGAATGAACTAAAATTCCATAATCTATAAACTAAAATTTCAGAATCGATGAACTACAATTCCATAATCGATGAACTATAATTCCATAATCAGTGAACTATAATTCCATAATCTATGAACTAAAATTCCAGAATAAATGAACAATATAATGTTGTTGCTGTGAATCGAACCTGAATTTTTTTTAAAGGGGAGACGCGCATTTTTTAATAAAACGACGTCATTTTGGCATCCGTATGCACATTCATGGTGCATACGGATGCACAGCATAACGATTGATACAACTCTTCTTTCTTTAATATTTTAAACTTTAGCAGCCCATTTTCTCTTCATCCTCAATCATTTTGTTGAAGCACAATTGAAGCCTATGCCTGGTAAGACAAGATAATGGCCCAAAGAAACATGCAATAAGCCCATAACCTGTACGCTAATTATACATACATGTGCGTGCTAGTGTGCTACATACCATTAATTCCAGCGTTTACAAATTACATGGTGGACCAGGATTCTTCGACATGCACATTATACATCATGGTTCAAATTATACATCTACTTTTAGGTAATAAATTATATACTTGCTGAAGGGTATATACTATGTCAGTTGTTATATTATAGACCGCGGTGCATAATCGATTATGCACCGCGGCCCATATACGGCGCCGTTTCTTTAAGTAAAGAAACGGCCCGCCGTTAGAGTTAACGGAGTCCGTTTGTTTGGTGTATTAAACACCAACTGACACTACAGTATATCCAAACCGACACTGCAGTTATATCAAAATGATACTGTAGTTATAGTGAAATGAAACTGCAGTGTATATAAACTGAAACTGAATAACATTTCACATATTTGAGTGTATATTGTACAATGAAGCTGTAATTATATCAAAATGATCATGTAGTTGTGTTTTAATAAAACTATAGTGTATATAAAATAAAATTAAATAACATTTTCACATATTTGAGTCTATAAATATCGAATGAAACTATAGTTATATCGAAATGAAACTGTAGTTGTGTTCAACTGAAACTGCAGTGTATACAAAATGACACTGAATAACAGAGTTACTTTTTGCAAAAGGGTGCGGAACGGCGAAAATAAACACTGTTAATTTTCATTTAAAAAAAAGACGTGCGGTGCATAATCGATTATGCACCACGGTGCATAATATAATTTGCCATACTATGTTAATTGTAAACATTTAATATGTTAATTGTAGGTAGGTATGTTAACTATATGCACATAATCTGAACCAAGGTCGTCCACAATGCGTAATTGTTATATTATGGACCAGGGTCCACCTTGCATTGTGGACTTTGGTCCAAAAATTGTGTATCTGCCATTGACATATTACGTATATGTTGTTAACCTATTATGTGTCTTTCAATTTATTTATAGATATATAACCTGTTAACTATAGACATATAATATATTAACAGCAGACACATAACATAAATATCATTTTTAACCAAAATCCTCAACGCAAGATGGACCTAAATACATAGTATAATTTGTCAATAATGCTCATAGTGAGTTCTAATCCACGATATAACAATTGCCTTGACGTTGACCACAACTTCTAATTTACGCTATATATATCACCTGTAATATAGGTGATGGAATTAATATTCCATTATATTATCAAGAATGAGATGAGATAGTCTAGGAAGTAACTCTCCATATTTGAGGTTATGAGATCGAGTTTCAGTGGAGGCGGTGTTGAATCTTTGTGTTTTAAGAGGGTGAGAAAGTATAGATGATCAGATACTACAATATTAGTCTAGGCAGTGGGAGTCAAGACAATAAAATAGGATAATATGTGACCCTGAGGCTAGGGGAGTTACAAGTTACAACCACAAGAAAATAACACAATATAAAGGCTTAGAGATCAGACAAAAAGGGTGGCTCATAGTTCCATATAATATTTCTTTTACGTACTACATTTTCTCTCTTCTTTTTACTACCTGACCATGGTAGCTCTTGTACATGTACTATACATTATATATAGTGAATTTTGGTGCTTGTAACTTTTACCTTAATAGTTTCCCCGTTACATTATTTTTGTGCATGCCATACTTATTATTTATTCATTCCATAAAAATACTTTATATTATTCATTTTTTATCTATGTCTAATGTTAAGTGTTAAGTCCCGCAGTCAAATAATTAAATGAGTGTGTTGGGATTACAAAATTCTGTAAAGTGAAAAACACAGCTCATTCTCTTGGCCAAATTCTACATACAATATATTATTGTAAACTTGGATTAGCAAACAAAAACATCTGATCTCCCATGTGCCTTTCCTGTCTCTCCAGCCCTAAACTTATGCTTGCATGCATCAGATCCATCCAACTCAATAACCCTAATCAGGACAAAACCCTAAATAATATCCCATCTTACATGCAGCTTGTGGAACTCTGTTAATTCAATTCTAACCAATTTTAATTTGCCAGCCCAATAAATGTTTAAAAATGGAATGCTCTCTCTAATATAACCCAGAATGTATACAGTACTGTCCCTTCCTGATGATCAACATAATATAATATTAATTAATTAATGTTTCAGATTTTTTTTTTTTTTTTTTTTTTTTTTTTATAGTTGAGTTGTAACTCTTGAAACAAGTAATGTTTAATGCATAATCTATGGGTTCATATCTTAATAATTTGTTGGTGAGTAATATCCTTTCAAATAGTAGAGTTGAAACCAACTTTCATCACCCATCCCCTATAATGTGTTTCTATACTTATCAGATCAAACACTTATCATTACGTCAAAAGCTATACCTATTAGTAAAAATACAATTTTATTCCTATTGGACGGTAACTTGGAGAGTTGGAGTGTTGAGTCCAACATCTTCCCATTGAAATGTGACACTAATTGCTATGCAAAATAAATATAAGGAAATAAAGGTGCGCCTTTATTACAAGTTATAACTCTTTTGACATACTGATATATATAATAGATTCTACGAATTAGTATTAGAGCAGGTCATGTTTTCTCTTCAAGCTTCCGCCCAGCAATACACCCACATACTTCAAAAAAGCAAAATTCAATCAATTTTACAACTAGAATATTATTCATTTCTAGCAATATAGCTCATGGTTATAATAGGAGAATATTATATTTCAACCAAGGCCCCTCGGATAAGGGGCCATATATTCATAATAATGACCAATTGGCATGAGAATAATGTATGGAAGAAAGAAAAATAAACTAAAACTATGAATAAGTAATAACTTCTCTTTCTTGAATTGTAGAATTTAGGGCAAAGTAGCCAGGAATGATAGACTTCCAACAGTGTGAACAAGAACCTAAAACTTTTAGGGTAGGTTAGGGTTTTAATGCATGTCACAATGCAATAACCTTATTTATTTATACTCCATCATTATTCCTCATCAATTCTCAATTCTTCCTATCTCATAGAGTAGTTGGGAGCCAGAAGAATATAAAAAAGGAAGCAAAAATTCATTAATGGTGATATACACATCAACCGAGGAACAAACAAAAAGGGCTATCAGTGTTTGATGTGATAATATTCTTTTTGTTAATAGAAAATTGGGCCACTGTGCAATACTTAAATGGATTGATTCCTTGTAGTTGGTGGCACAGTTTTGTAAGGATTGAGAAAAGGGAGGGAGGGAAAAGTGGAAGAAGAGAACACAAGTGCATGGCATATATATATATATATATATATATATATATATATATATATATATATATATATATATATATATATATATATATATATATATATATATATATGAGTTTGTATATTATATATATATAGTCTGCAAGGGATCGATTATGATTATAATGATAACAAAAGTACAAAGGAAAAGGGAATCTGTGTTGTGTTGTATCTGACTTATACTGGGATTAGTTTACACATTTTTCTACTGAGAGAATGTCAGTGAGGTACTGATGAATGGGAAAATGAGATTCAATTCATCTCATCATCCCATGCAGATTGGAGTTAATACTTCCGATTCACCATGATGGATTTAATTAACTCGGGGTAGACCCGAATTACTAAACCCGATAAATAAGGAATTGGAAGAGATGTTGAATACGTGTGTCACGGAGACACCTTTGTATTGATAATGCTTGTAGAAGAGTTACAAGATAAATATGATAATAATAATGAATAGTAGATGTCCTAACAAGACAAGGATACACCCTTTTATACTAAATAGTTCTCCCAACCGACCCCAAAAGAATAGGGCGGGCGGTTGGATCTTAGTTGACCGAGTCCCGCGGGGAGGTCCCGGTGGGGTCCCCAACCGAGATCCTCGCAGTAGTCCCTGCCCGACGTCCCCGCAGTAGTCCTTTCCGAGGTCCACGTAGTAGTCCTTGCCCGAGGTCCACGTAGCAGTCCTCGCCCGAGGTCCACGCCAGGGTCCACGCTGGGGACCCGTTGGGGTCCCCAAGGCCTCTCGTGTCACGCCGCCACCCCGGGTCGGATTGTGCCCCGCATCCATTATACTAATATATCCATCACACCAAAACCCACATATACTATATATGATTTAACACATCAATTGAGTCTAATCTAATCGAGTTTATTGGGTCGAGCACAGTTCAAGATAGCTCTTCTAAAAACGGGTGCTACTATATACACATGAGTCCAAATTTTGATTTACTATAAAATTCGCTGTCATTATTACTGGAATGTGTGTCTATGTGAAACTTGTTTTGTGACCGTAATCAATACAGAACATAAGAAAATAAACCAACCTTGATTGTTTATAGTTGACTAACCTAGAAAATAAACCAACCTAGAAAATACATGAGTTCAAATTCTTGACAACATCTTTAAGTGACTCGATCAAGTCCATTCCACTATAATGACTACACAATTATTTGCCTTTTATTTTTTGTTTGGCTACATGTTCCCTCAATCAGGGTACACTAGCTAGAACTTCACATACAAAGATTAATTATGTTCGTGTTGAGTAGATTTTAGAGTAATTAAATTGAAAAAGACTTGTGACATCTCATCTACATTTTATGGGTATTATTATTTGAAAACTACTATTTCTACTCCCAAATTCTACTCCTAACTTTTACTCCTCTCACAAAATTTTGATGTTGACATTTTCATTGAAACCCACAAGATAAAGATAACTAATCATCAATTCTCACACAGGGGAGTAAAAATGAGGGAGTAGAAATAGGGATTAGAATACATGTAATAGAACTCTTATTATTTACCTTTGTCACTTGTGTTTTTAAGAATCATGAAGTTCTTAGCATAAATTTTTATATTTTTACTGCGAGTTTTTATAGTATGTTATTTCCATGCATGAAAGCAAACTTTCAAAATAGAAAGTGAAAGATACAATTCCAAGTAAAAGTAGTTATTCTTGCAGAATATGGTACAGTACATATTTGGCACTGTAACATTAAATTTGGTATCTTTTTATAATTTAATTTCACTTCACCCCCCCACTGATCGAGTTGGGCTGATCTGATCCATAACTAGCATCAGGTTAAAGTCTTGAAGTTCGAAAAGATCCTCCGGAATAAAATATATAAATAAATCAAGAACTACATGCACTTATTACAATATTCACCTATCTTTCTTTCTTTCTTTTTTTTTTTTTTTTTTTTTTTTTTTTTCTTTTTTTTTTTTGAAAAACAATATTCACCTATCTAGTTCATGAAACAATAACTTTAAATAAATGAGCAAACAAACAAACAAAAATTCAAATTTACTTCTTCTCCCAAATATTGTCTATTGAATCAGTGAGCTAAGTCCGTGCCAGCAAAATTTAAGTTTACTGTTCCGGTTGTTGGATGTTTTGAGATTGGGGTTATAGTGAGATTTTCTTCTAAAGTTTGATGTTCAAACAACTTTTTTTTTTTTTAATCTGTTTTTGTTACCATACATTCTTACATCCCAAAAGCACTCATGCAATCCATCGATCATAACAAGTAAAAGTATCCATATATGATTCATAAATTAATCGAATAATTTGCAGTATACTATCAAGAAACGGACAAGTTATTTTTGTATGGAGACATGGATAAAATCGATTATATTGTCTTTTAACGTGTCATGAACAGTAACAATCGATGAATTCAAAGCCATTGTTTATAGTACTGATATATATACTTTATAAAATGTTATTAGCTGAAATATAATGCTAGAGATGGTGCACAATTTTTCTGGGGAGATTTTTCAAGATTTCTTACGGTTCTTGAATTCTTACACTCTGCAAATTCCCAAGCCTACAAGCTTTTCAGGCTTCTGATCAACAAAGCAGAAACAAAAAGACGGAGAAAAGTAGAAAACATACTGATGATGAGGTGAGTAATGAGACAGGAAATTAAACCATCCATTTTGGTTCCTTATTTCACCTTTGGAGGGTCACTACCCAGCCTTAGCTCCAGATCCAATTCTTCTATGGGATTGGCGAGGATTCCGGAACCCGGTTTTGGGAACAAACCAAACGTAGGATTATTCGCCGCATCTATTTTCCTTCTTTTGCAGCTTGAAACATCCTCGTCTGTCGGCCTTCTTGTCGTCAACAACATCGTCCTCGTTTCATGATCCCTACAACTAGACGAGGAATCCAGGATTTTCAGGTTGTTTTCTGCTTCATCATCAATGGCGGCGCTCTTCCTTAAATTTATCAACACTTTTAACTCCTTCTTCTCCCCATTCTTCACGTCCGGAGTTAAACAAAAACGCCTACTAGCCACCGACAGGTTTGACCATTCTGGGGCACTATTGGAAACCCTAATCCAGTGATCTGAATCGGAGCTGTGGCTGTAGAGAAGGGTACCACCCTCGCCGCCGCCGCCGCAGGCGGCGGCGGCGGGAGGAGTGTACTTAGGTAATACGGTGGAATTATTAGCGCTGGGAACACCTCCGTCGGGGGCGTCGATGGACGGTGAGGATTGCTTCAACCTAGCCCTATCTCTCCTGTGCACGTTCATGTGACCTCCGAGGGCTTGCGCGGACCGGAACTCTCGCCCGCAGAAGCTGCACGTGTAAGATCGCGGCGGCCAGACGCAGCCCCCCAGCGCCCCCGCCGCGTCCTCCGCAAAAGCCTGCTCCTCCCACGAATCACCGTTCGAAGACGACGGGTTTGCCGTGTAGGCAAGGAGGCGATGATGATGATGATGATGATGAGGGGCCGCCGTCAAATCCAGCTTTCGCTTCGGCCACACCCAACACCTCGCTTGCTCCATCCCACAACAACCTTAAGTTCGAGATCTTCAGAGGAAATTAAAAACAAAAAACAGTGAAAACTCAAGTAATATAGAAGAAAAATTGCGAGGATGACTAGTAGTTGGGTTGTGTTCCCATTTTGGGTATTGAGATCATGGAAAAATAATTGTTAGTTGAAGAAAGGAACAATTCAAAAGAGTTGTGTTCTAGGGTAGAGGGAGGAAGGTGAAATGGTGGGTATAGTTGTATAGACTGTTTCAGGCTTTTGATTTTTAGTTGGCCTCCGGATCGGAAGACCAGACACTATTGTAGTAGAAGACCCCTACGTTGGCTTACTATATAACACTAATATAAGAGAATATGTTGACCAAGGTTGGAGTCATACTATGGAATTGATAATCAAAAGTTACAAGTTTAACTTAACTCTCAGTGAAAGTCGCATATTGTTTTTCTACTCACATAGCTAGCTCAGTTGGTCACATGGCTGAAATTTGGAAATAATAACTCGAGCATATTGTTTTTCTTCTTTTGTGATTCTTTGTCTGTTAAGATCAAAATTCTATGCATACCATTAGATAGTGATTGCGAGTTTTCTTGAACATTAAAAAAATGGATTTGCAATTTCTAGGTAAACTAAGGTGGAAACACGAGAAATTTTGTTACAGTTGAGTAGTAACATTCGTGTTGTTGAAATTGAAATCCAATAAAATGACTGGAGTGGGTCCCGTAAGACCATCTGGTGCATGGGTGAAACTGACTGCTTTCACACAAACGTGACTGCGATCATCTCATCCTACTGAGATTGATTGACTTCAGTATATATATCACATATATTTGTTGGACACTTAATGTTGGATAAGTTAGTATCACATAATCAAACGCTTATCACTACACTAAAAATTACTCTCTATAATGTTACTTTAAAATTAATTGTCAAATCATATTTTTACGATTATACCAAAAGGTATATAAATAAATGGGTAACTTTATTTATTTATATTTACGTAATAATTAATGTTACCTTAGAATGATAAGTAGTACCACACTAAATCTTCTAAACCTCCATCCATATGGATCATGCATGATCCAACATATGTAAAGTGAGGGGACTCCTTGTGCACAGTAAGCAAAGGTCTAGCCTCTGTAGTTCAATTCATATTCAATTGAGTTACCATGATTTACATTCTCCCAAATGTTCTGTTAGATCGGGGTGTGGGGGGCCTATGGGGTTCAACCTTTTAGAAGAATGATCCAACATATGCACAAAAAAAAAAAAAAAAAAAAAAAAAAAAAACCATTTTTTCTTAAAAAACGAGGATATATATATATATAAAAAAGATTTATTACCCGATAAAAGAGTGTTTTTAAATTTAAAAAACGCAAGTGAAGAGTACAGTTCATCTGTATTTTTCATTCCAATAATTGGAAGTTGGAACAGAACATTATTACTCGATCATAATAGGGAAAGTGAGCAATTTACGAATATAAATATTTATTAGTAACCAAAAGAAAATATTAGTAGTATATCATATGTGAAATATAATATCACATGGCGCACAAGGTTGGCATGCTAGAAGCTAAGGGCTAGTATCACATGAACTAATGTTTTTAAGTTTTAATAATGCTTTTATGTATTTCTTTTTTATAAAATTTAATTTTTTTTCTATTGATGAACCGGGGAGCCAAACCTTATAAGTCTTCCAAAAGTAGTTTAATTAAATTGTTTATTTATTTAATTTTACTCTAAAAAGAGCCTATACATTGCGGTTCGTTTTATTACCCAATCTATTTTAATTATTCGGTGTTACCAAATTATCCTGATTACTCAATTTTACGATGGATCTTGTCCAATAAAAAATCATCTATTAATTATTTTATTTCCATATATAGTAATGTATAATGTATTACAAGTAATTAACAAATACAATAACCCTAAATAAGTCAAGAATGACTGAATGAATAAACTATATATTAAATGACTATGATATTCGCCTCAAATCGATCTAACCAATTTGACAATGAAAATTGAAGAATGGAACACTGCGTATTTAAAAATATTGTATAGAAATGACAAATTCAACAGTTTGTTAAAAACTTGAGTTATTTAAAGACTGGTTCGTTTGTCGTTTCCAAACTTTATATAATTCGGTAAAAGAAAATATGTTTAAAAAACAGGATGATCCAGTTTAGCATTCCATTTAATTTGTTAACTAGAAAATTATTTTAGCATTAAATGATATAGTATTGTTGCATGGGTACTAGTACAAATAGATCCCAACTTCAGCTAGAAATGATTCACAGTTTTCACACACGTGTAGAGATTTGTAGTGAACAATTTACTTCAGTAATATATTCACCTGGCCCGACATTCAAACCCGACAAGATAGTGGAAGTGTAAATCACGCGACTTCAATTATTATATCGTAGACCACGGTCTACAGTGCACAATGCACTATATGTGTCTTGTATTATGTGTTTCTGTGTATCATGTTATGTAATTTTGTACCTTAAGCGTATGAATTAATAAAGTAAATATAATATGTGTTTTTGTGTCTTGTGCTGTGCATTTTGTGTCTTGCGTTATGTGTTATTGTATCTTATGTTATGCAATTTTGTACCTTAAGAATATTGATTATGTATCTGAAATAAAATAATTAAATATACCGTTATACACTTTCTGTGTCTCATGTTATGTACTTCTGTACCTAAGCGTATGGATTCTGTGCATGAAATATATTAGTAGTTGTGTAACAAACAATATATTGTGTCTTATTTTACGAATTTATGTCTTGTATTATGAAATTCTGTGACAATAGGACATAAATTATCTACATAAATCAGATTTGAGAATAAGTAAATATATAACATGTGTATGTGTCTTGTATTGTGAGTTTTTGTGTATCGTGTTATGAAATTATGTACCTAAAGAGTATTGATTCTGTACCTAGAATAAATTAAAATTTGTGTCGAAACATGAGAAACGGAAAACTACAGAATTATTTAAAGCTCAAATATCAAAACGCGTCGTTTTGATCCAGGGTCCATAATACTATGTGAACCCTGGTCCACATATAAATTGCCGCGTGACTCACTGGCTCATTAGGTGGAAGGACTAGTGTCTAGTGCCTACAAGATCAAAACCAATCACTCAGTGAAACTCTCACATTGCGATTGTCAGAACTTCGTCATGTGTCCTTGACTCCTTGCCAACATTTTATAAATAATGTATTATTTACCTATAAATTAATACATTATGTATTTGACTATTTGCTATAACTTGTTGCTTTATTAGTTATTATTGTGTTTAACAAATTACTTGCTTTATTTGACGCATGTGGCAACACCTCCACTTGTACATTTGTCTCTTATCATTGTCAAAGGTACCCCTCATGAGCCATTATTCGGTTGTGTTTTTAATCATTTTTCTACCCCATCGGTGATAGATATACAAACCAAGTTAAACATCAAAGATTACAAATAAAGAAAACTTGAAAATCATTTTCTAGCATTTTTTTAAAAAATAAATCTAAGTTAAGTTTTTTTTTTTTTTTTTCCTTTTGTTTTTCTTATAATTATTTAGAACAAGACTCAATATTTTAATTATGTTTTTGCATTATTGGAAACAATTAGGTCATTATAGTATTAATATTTTTTGTCTCATTTCTATAATGCTACAATTGTACATTACTTTACAAATATTATTCTATTATTCTTTTATCAGACAAAATTGTTCTCACATCATTAAGGTTATATATATATATATATATATATATATATATATATATATATAATTGTTCGCATGTTCCAGTCACCCTCATCCGCTATACCTATACAGGTGTAACGGAAACACTTGTACATGTGTAGTTGATGTGCTTCTTTGTACTAGTGCCAACTACAATAAATATTTATTAGATAATTGTTTTTAGAAAATTGCAAATTAAGTATTAATTTTAATGCAAACTATAATGAACTTCTCCTATATAATCTTGCATTGATATACTTTAAATTATTTATTTAAATACAGATATTAAACATTAAATCATTTATGCAATGTGTCTGTAAACTAGTATGATTAATAAGGAACAAAGTGTACTATACAAGTATACAACGATGAAAAATATTATGCATTTTAAAAACATCTAAATATTACTAAATAAACTTTTAAGGGAAAATGACACTTTTTCCCTCTGAGTTATATACTTATAGCACTTTTTCTCCCTCAATTATTTAGGTAAGCACATTAGCCCCTTCAATTATTCTAAAAGTGGTTGTTTTTTCCCCTAATATATTAAATTGACATTTATACCCTTAAAATAAACATTTTATTTATTTTACTTCTCCAACAAATTATTGCGTATACGTAGGGATGACTATGATTCGGTTCGAACTGAATCGGACACTATAGCAATCGAATTAAAAGTTTCCGGTTATGATTCAGATCTAGAACCCAATATTTGGATTTCAATTTATTAAAATTATGAATCAAAAAAATTGGATCCTGAACCGTGAACTGGCGGTTCCGGACCCGATTCGCGATTTTGAACCGTTTTTATTTTAAATTTATTTTAAAAATAGTCTAAATTCAACAATAAATGTATTTTATTTTTTCAATTCGGAACATGAACCGTCCGTTCCGGAATTTTAATAAACTCTAAATATCGAGTTTCGATTCTAAATTGTAATTGGAATATTTCGGTTTGGTTGCTATAGTGTTTATTTGGTTTGAACCAAATTATGGTCATAATTTGTTTAAGGGTAAATATGTCCATTTAACATTTTAGGGAAAAAAAACAGCCACTTGAATAATTGAGGGGGAAAAAGTGCTATAAATATATAACTCAGAGGGAAAACGTGCCATTTTCCCAACTTTTAAATACCAAAGAAATGCCTCGTTCTAAGTTCTATCTGCTGCCACAAGTAAGGTCACGAGGGAATAATTGTGTGTAAGCACCAAAATACATTCTGCAGTCTCCCTAATTCCTGCATGTATTCATATATGAATTCTTTGGGCCTTAAATGAAGGAAACTTGCTGGCAGCATGACAAGCATTATTCTTACAAGCTAAAATAAAATGTATGGCCGCCTCTATAATCTTGTCAGGTCGGGATGTGTGAGTCCTGGAATGTATGAATTTCGTATTTTATAGACAAAATAAAATGTGCGGAGGATTCATACTACAAGCAAGCCGGAGTATGTTGTGATGGATCCCAAGAACGCTCAACCATGAAGTTTTTTTTTGTTATATGATTGACGATTGTCATATCATTTTTAAAATCAATTGGTGATATGTATACAGAGATTAACCATTTAACAACATCTTTTCATGGTAAGCCACAACGTCACGTATTAAATCGAGTAGGGGCTAAACTCAGCTCGGCCGATGCCCAACACGCACTGCTGGAAATTATGAAATTTCCGACCACCTGAAAATGATCTTAAATCGAGTCGAAAGTCTTGTTCCGACCACTTTTGGTATCCGGAAAAACCTTTGTTGCTATTTTCGACCACTTTTTGCTTTTGACTTGATTTAAGATCACTTTCTGGTGGTCGAAAATTCCATAATTTCCAGTAGTGACGTTACACCATTGTATAATTAGCTTTGGAATATTAAAAATGATGTCTGTTTTTAAGGTTGTGTGCCTGCAAAGTTATACAGGAAATTACACCCTCCCCGAATCCCAGTCTGTCTTTAACCTAAAAACCAAAAATTTTTGCATTGCTTCCACACAATATAATGTTCTCCATCTAATTTCCTGGTTTTGAAAATATAATTGAAGCCAGCAAGTCCACTACTGGTTAGTGTTAAGGGGAAGAAGACGAGAAACGTACAAAATGGGACGACAGTCAAATTTTGAACGGATTGGCTTGACCAGAAATAATGTGCATATATACCATGGTGGTCCATATACATTATTTCATTGCACAAATTAATTAAATTGTTATTTATTAATTAGTATTATTATCATTATCATTTGAAATCTCTGATTAGTTGTATTATATATATTGGTCCGTGTAACGTGTATGAAATTTGTCATTTTTTGGGGAAATTGCTTTGAAAATTTTATTTCAGGATATGTTATTGAGAAACATCTTCCAAGTATGATAATGAGTATCACATTACAGCATTATATTATATTATATTATATTATATATATTTATTAAAATATATTAAAGACTGCTTATTTTATCAGCCCAAGCTAATGCATGCAAATTATTGAGAGGGGTAGTATACTTAAATAGTCTATTGCAAATAATATTTCCAAACACCCTTCTCTAATAAAAATGTGTTATATATATATATATATATATATATATATATATATATATATATATATATATATCTGTGTGTGTGTGTATATATTATGTAGTGAAAATACAAACTATTATAAATGAAAAAGATAAAAGCAATAACATTTTTGTAAATATTTTTACTATTTTAAAAAATGTGACATTTATTTCTTTTTTTATAGTAGTTGACATTATTAATAACCAATATTGTGAAACTTTCAAATTAAGATATTTAATTTAGCTGCATACATTTAGTGTTGAGCTCTAAGAGGTAGGTATAATTAATAACCTTGTTATAAGAGTATAAGGTATAATTAACTCATTATTTCATAATTTTTGTTTGTCATGAGAAAGTTAGAAATCTAGAAATGATAAATAGACTTTTAAAAATCTTTTTTAGAAAAATAAAGCACAAAAGTACTATCGTTATATCATGGACCAGTGTTCACCACGAGTATCGTGGACCATGATCATATTATATACATACAGTTAATAGATTATGTACATTAAATTATAATTGAATGTATATAATTTGGATCAAAATCCACAATGCGCATGGTAAACCTTAGTTGACCATATAATTTACAACCAAAGTATATACGTGCAGCAAATTAAAAATCGTTTGCTTAACTTGTTTTAATTTGAGTTTTAAAAAGAAAAAGGTCAAATATTGGGTACAATTATTTTGGCTTTTTTTGCAAACAATTATGGTTGGGACTTGGGACTTTGGGACTTTGGACATGTTTTGAACCACAAAAATAGTTAAGTGGGTGACCGTCTAACGACCAATTCTCTGTGGTCTGTGGAATATAACGCATTAACGTATAATAAATACAAATATAGTAATTGGTTAAGGAGAAGAATAAAGAGAAGAAGTATTAATTGTCCAAATAAATACTACAAACAAAAAACACCTTTTTAAAAAAAAAAAATAAAAAAAAATCAGCCTCCTGTATTTCAAGTCAAATGGATGATGAACCTCAACTAGAACTCCATACTACTGCATACCAATCAGCAGATAGTTTTACTTTGCACC